ATAATTTGCTATGTGTTTTTGTAATTTTATTCATCAATTACTCTTATTGCATAATTACTTTTGCAATTTATTGCCTATCTAATTAAATTTATGTTTATTGATTTATTATTTTTATAATTTATTTAATAACTGTCAAATATCAGGTCGCCATTTTGTTATTAAAAACAGTCACAATTTATGTTTGCCAACTGTTAGCCAAAAAAAAATTTGGCGCGACTTTAAAAATAAAATTGCGACAAATTACGATTAAATTAAAATAACTATCGTTTAAATTGTTTAAAATAAAATATTGTCAAGTATTAGTTATGACGGTTGCTTTAGCAAAAGAAATAATTGATAGAGAGAATGTTTATTAACACTTTATCTCTATAAAAACTATATTTTTAATTAGATGAAAAAAATGAAAAAGTTTTATGCATAATAATAATAACATATTATGCCTAAATTTTTAATAATAAGCAGTAAAAATTAATGTATTATTTTAGGTGAAAAACTCATCTTAAGTAAAAAAGTAAAAATAACGTTATTAAATTGTTATCAATTTGAATTATTGTCAAAATAATTCGTAAAATTTGGATACTAAACATTAAAATCACAGATAATACGAATACTATCACTATGTTTACCTAAATTTTACATAAATAATGACTTTTATATAAATAGTTACATGAATAATAAATTAAGAAAGTAATTAATTAATAAATATAATTACAAAAAAAAACACAGTTATAAGACTACTTTTTAAAAATAAAACTGAATTATAAGTAATTCTAATAAGCTGAAGAATAATTTAAAAATAATCTACATTTATACAAATAATGTTTAAATTAAACCTGCATAATATAATAAATTTTTAATAGTTTTAAAATAAAAATAACCCAATTATAAAAAATCATAAAATTTGCAGAACAATTAATAGGTTTACTGCCAATTCATATAAATATTTAGTTTATAAGAATTATTGATAATTCAGTATTTTTTAAGTAACTTCATAACTATATTTTTTTGTCATTTCATTTATTAATTAATTACTTATTATTTTAATTATTATTAACATAATTCAATTTTTGTATTTGAATTTATTTAACAACTGTCAAATATTAGGTCGCCATTTTGCTATTAGAAAAATGGCACAAAGTTTGCCAAAAAAAGGATTTTGGCACAAATTTAAAAATAAATAATACTAAATAACAATTTAATAAAGATAACATTTGTTTAAAATAAATTAATTATTAAAATAAATTTATCTAATATTTATTAGTTATTACAATTGCTTTAGCCATATTTAATAGTTCTATTAAAAGTAAACAAATGGCAAATAAAATTGCAGAACTATTATTATATTTATTATCAATTCGTACGAATATTTAGTGTGAATTACTGATAATTTAGTTTTTTTTTTCAAAGCAGCTTTATAGCTCTATGTGTTTTTTGCAATTTTTTTTTTTTGTAATTTAATTTATTACTTTTATACTTATTTAAAAACTGTCAAATATCGGGTCGCCATTTTGTTATTAGCAAAAAAGTCACGACTTCATGTTTGCCAACATTTTTCCAAAGTTTTGGCACGAATTTAAAATTAAATAATACTAATTAATTTGCAACAAACTACAATTAGATTAGACTACCTAAGTTTGTAATTTATTACTATTTATGAAATTTAGTACTATTTCTAATTCTTTCCTTACCTTTCAGGATTCCATTTCCCCAAATGTTGAGAATCCTCGCCCGTATTTGCATGTAAAGGTAATCACGCCGCATCGCTCTGTCCCTGTCGCACCGCAAAAGTTATACGGCGATCAGGATACGTCGGAGCGAGAGGGAGGATGTCCACTTAAACTCTCAATTTCCGTTCTTCAGTTATCCCCTCGATGGTAAATTATTATTGTTTAGTATTTCGCAAGGATGGGAAGATACTTAATACCGGCATGATATCATAAATTGGAATATACTGGAGGAATTCCTTAGATAATAATAATAATTTGAGGAATAAAGGATAAGAGGCAAGAGTCTCGGGTATCACGTTGCAGAATGATGCAATTTTTGGAAAAGTTTCATTGAAAAGAAACATAATATGATTTATCTCAAGTAACTGGTTTAAGACTTGGATAATCATTTCCAAATACAATAATTATCTAGTGGTGTATAGCATCGTGCCTTAAGGTAAATTGCTGGTACTTCCCGTACCGTAATGGAATATTCGAGAAATTTGAAACGTTTTCAAATATATTATTACAAATACTGTAACTTTCATTATTTTTGCTATCTTGTTATATCTGAGCAAATCAAATGTAAATCATAAATCAACTTATCTCCAGAACATTAACAATCGTCATTTCATTTCGAATTCAATTTCAAAAAAAATAGTTGCCTTAATTTGCTCAAAATTGAAAAAGTGCTCCTGTATAGTCACAGTCCAAACGCATTTGCAAATAATTCTGTGCGACATTTTCACTTATACTATGCTTAGCTTGGCGGCATTTTCACATTTTTCAACAGTTTTCACAAATTTAAAAAAGTTCTCCATACATAAACAGTCTAAATGCACTCGGGTAAACATTTGTACCAGAGTGGCGCTTAGACTGTGCTTAGCCTGGGTAATTTTTTGAATTTTTAATCCAAAATTCCAAAAATATTTTATGGAAAATAAAAAAAGATGTAATATTTTTTTTATCCTCAAAAGCAATTGTTTTGTCAATACAAGCAGAAAGTTCTTAGAATCATTCAAATCGGATGCTCCGTTCTCTCAAAAACTGCCATTTTTGCACATTTAACTCTGTATCTTCGAAATGGCGGGACATGTCTTTGCCAAAAACTAATCACCTTTTCTCCGAATCATTACAAATTGAATGTTTTTTAGATATATATTTTTATATGTTTAATTATTTATAAATCTATTAATTTTAGATTATTGGATTTCATTGATTTTTGAATTCAAAGATAGAGTTAAGAAAAAAGTTTATGTAAAAATTCCAATAAGGATGATATGGATAAGAAGCAGGATGCAAAATGATGCAATTCTTTGAAATATTTTTAAAAAAAAAAACAGGATCATCCAGGAACTGGTTTAGTTTTTAAAGGAAAAATCTTGCTGTAAGTATATAGAATTTATGCAAAGAATTATGTTTCTCTACTAACAAGCTGAAAACTTCATTCACTCATATATAGAAATGACAAAGATTTTATTTTAGTTGGTTAATTAAATTTAACTTAAACACTTTAAATAATTATTTCCAAAAATCAAATAAAAGCTATAAAATAAATATAAATAATAATTATTATGATTGCAAGTCGTTACTATAGATATTGACTCATCTTTGAATAGAAATATGAATTTTATGAATTTATTAATTTTAGATTACAGGATTTCCACTGATTTTTATTTCTAAGTTCAAATAAACTTCATGTAGTTAAAATTGGAAGGAATGCAGAAATAAATCTTTGAAAATTCAAATTTAAGGTGTAACATCGAATAAGATAAAAGAAAGTATAGTCAGGCTGCAGAATGATGCAAGTTTTAGATATCGATAAAAAAACGAAACAAATTGAAATTGAAATATAGAGAAAGAATTTCTTAGGAACTTTGGGAATGTTTCATTGAAAGAAACAGGAATTTTTATGAACAGGGATTTAGACATGCAAAAATTAATTTTTTTGTATAAAAGAACACGCTTAAAGACTTATTCATTTTCATATTATAGCAAGTTTATATTTCAGAACTCTCAATCAAACAATTTAGGTAATAATTTCTGAGAACAAAGCAAAGAAGTATATATTTTGCAAGATAGCAATATATTGCACATACTGTAACTCCTTGGAATATAAATCTGAATTTTATGAATTTATTATTTTAGATTACTGGATTTTTATTCATTTTTATTGCCAAGTTCAATTAACTCATAGTGTGATAAATTGGAAAAAATAGGAAAATATTTTCTTACATAATGATAATTTGAGAAATAAATAAGAATGAGACAGGAATAAGGTTGCTGAATAATGCAATTTTTGGAAATGTTTAACAGGATTTTTTAAAAACTGTTATGAATTTGTTGCTGTTAAAGAATTTTGAACTGGAAGAAATCAGAGAATGTATCTGGATATAGAATTTATGCAAAAAATGATTTCTAGAGAAAAATGATATAGAGACGACAAAGGTAAATTCTTCTTTTATCTATGGGTAAACTTCAATTTAATCAAAAATGTTGAAAAGCCATATTCTAAAATAAAATATAGCTATAGAATAAATTTAAACAAACATATAATAATTGTTAACACTTTTTATAGACATTTTTTAAATACGAATGTGATTTTCATAAAATTTTTGATTTTAGATGACTGGAATGCAGTTATTTTTAATTTACAACTTAAATTAAATCATGGGATTAAATAGCCTGAATAACTTAAGGATTGTTAGTTTTTTATGGATAAACATGAATTATAGAGCCTTACAAAAACTTTTAAAGACGTAAGTAGCCTTATTGTAAGATATTAAATCTTTGATAAGAGACTCTATATAATTATTTGAACTTAACGTTTAGATTTGGCGCGCATATGTGTTCCACATTTACATATTTTATATATGTCATCAGATGTTGATATACCAAGAAATGATACTATAAACAAGTTTTAATGCTGATTGTACGGAAAATATAAATAAATTATTGTTTATATTTAGTTCTTATTTTTGCAAAATTTGAAAATAAGCAAAATGTAGAGAGAGATGAAGCTAGAGCCACACGTCGCCAACATTCCACACTAAAAATTCTCTACATTTTTCTAAACCGTGCGGTTCGCAACGTCGCTCACTGTTTTCTTTTTTGACAATCAGATTAAAAAGTTTACATACGCATTAAAAATATATATTTAAAGAAACAATAATGAACGACAATGCTCGTTCTCTACATCGACAACCTTGTGACAAGTACAAATAGTCATTATCAATTAATTATTCCACGCGTCAATTCCACTAATTCAATTTAACCTCAATCTGTGATAAAAATTCCAAGATGAATTTAAACGGAATTAAAATAAACCGTTGCGGTTTATTAGTGATTTTTGTAATAGCTGTTATGTTACTCTATTACGCTAATTTATCAAGTGATGGTGGAAATGGAAAATCTAATTTAACTAATATTCGACAGTTGATTATTGGTTCCGTTGAAGCCGCAGTTAATGGTGGAAAGGAAGTTGTTCTGATTTCGGAGACTAAAAATTTGGATTTGAAGAGCAAAGGGAAGACTAGAGAAGGCGCTAATGATCCTGTGACTAATGCAGATTTGAGATCACATTGTGTGATGTATTATGGTTTGAATAAAATGTTTCCCAATATAAAGATTATTTCGGAAGAGAAGGTTTCGGAGGCTGAATGTCCAGTGAAGAAGCCTCTGGAGTTGGACTCTACCTTGTTGCATAGTGATGTACATAAATTGCTTGATGAGAATGTTAATACGGAGGATATCACTGTTTGGATTGATCCTTTGGATGCTACACAAGAATTCACAGGTAAGAATATTTTCTATCTATTATCTCTATAAACATATAATAAAGATTCAAAGCTTTGAAAACCAAAAAAATTAAGCTATCTTAGTTTTTTTATAGAATTTTCCAGTGATGAAAATTACAAAAAAAATACAGGAAAGCCAGTATGAAACTGTAGGATAAACATTATATTTATATTGATTTATAAAATCCAAAAGTGCTCACAATCAAAGCATGTACTTTACATTAATTTGTTATAGAGTCTTTGATAATTCATATTGTTAATATAAGTTTATTAATTTTAATATTTAATAATCAACAAATTTCTTTGACTTGTTCAAATTTTATAACATCAAGAACTGAATCTAAATTAATCTAGAATAAGATTAGAATAAAATGTATTTTTATATAAGAAACTAAACTAATTAAAATAAATTTTTATATAAACTACTATAAATATAATGCTTGCTTAAGGGCTCTATTGGCTCAATAATTAAACCGAATTTTACTTAACTTTTATGGCTTATTATTATGATATTTATTAATAATAATACTAATATAATTATCAATTTTTCAGAAAGCCTATACCATTACGTGACGACAATGGTGTGTGTGGCAGTGAGAGGAAAACCGATTGTTGGAATTATACATTTCCCGTTTACACAAAAGACTTATTGGGCTTGGATTGGGAACACAGCCTCCGACAGTTTACTGGATATTAAAAATGTAAGAATTGATAACAATCAGTACTTTTAATTGGATTCACGTTAGATCCTTTATATAAATTGTAAATGAAAAGTGTTTAATGCATTGCCTCAATTTACAAAAACCTTTTTAAATACACATTTGTAAAATGTTATTGGTAATTATCAATTAAACAGCTTTTTGCTCTGAGATATACTTTAAAGCAATTTATATATGTACATAGTTGGTTATAAAAATTACAATTAGTAATTAGTTTAGTTATTTGATGCGATTTATTAGATATTCTGCAAAAGTAATAGTTGTAACTTTTATGTAAAGCTCTTCAAATAGTTCATGTCTAAAATAGGGGAAAATAGTGGAAGGAGCAACACTTTTAATGATAATTAATTTTAAATTTGATGAAGAGTAATTAAGAAACTTTAACCTCAAAAGTTGAACAAATGTAACTCAATGGTTCAAAAAAATGAATGATTATTATTTATAAATAGAAGAAGAAATTCTAGAAATCTTGGAATAATTAGTAGAAACAAATGTTTTTGAGGAAAAATCTCGATTTTTAAATGAGCTTGTATGTTATGCACTATATGGTAAAAAATATTGTAGAGAAAAAGCTTGATTCTTTAAAGACCTAGGAATAAACCTTTCTAATTTGATATATATATATATATATATATATATATATATATTTTAATTTCTAATTTTAGAAACCGGTAACAGAAAAGACTGAAAATGCAGCTCCTACATTCATTGTATCGAGATCACATGCTGGAGGTGTCAGTAATATTACAAAGACTGCATTTGGAGCCCAAACCAAAGTTATACCGGCTGGTGGAGCAGGTAATAAGAATTAATCGTAATTTATTTATGTATTCATAGAAAATAATAATAGAAAAATACATTAATAGAAAATCAATATGAGAATCTTATAAAACTTTTGCAGATGCACTTAATGGAATTTGATTTTTATTTATTGGTAGAGAAACTAAATGAATATAAATAATTTAATTTATTTTTGTTATTATTCATATTTAATTTAATTATTTACATTCTGCATCAAAACGTATTGATATTTTTATCATAATAGTATATTTAAAAATAATTATTGTTATCTTAATGATAATGATATTTATAATTAATGTATGTTCAAATATTTATTAATCGAATTGATAATAAAATATTTCTTGACAGTCGCATTTCCAATACATTAATGATATCAATATGTTAAATAGTTAGTTTAATTAATTAAATAATTCTCATTACAATTTCAATTATTTTAGGTTATAAAGCTATCCAAGTTGCCCAAGGCAACGCAACAGTCTACATCCACACCACGGTGATCAAAAAATGGGATATTTGTGCAGGCAATGCAATTCTGAATTACCTCGATGGAGACATGACAACTTTAGTTGGTGATAAAATAGACTATTCATCCACTTCTAATCCAAAGAACGAAGGAGGCTTATTGGCAGCTTTGAAAGATCATAAAATGTATGTGGAACAACTCAAGAGTCGGTTTAAATAAGGTAAGACGTTTTATAAATAGAAAAAGACTTGCTCAAGGAGTAAAATAGTGGTGAGTTGGAATAGTTGCACCAAAAAATTATAATTAGATTATGATAAATCTTTGTCAATTGATTTTTGATAGTTATGTGATTCTTCAGATAAATTTATTTTGGTACAAAAATATGAATAAAATTAGTATAGAATAGATAATTTTGTTAAGTAAATTGATATAGTTTTGGGAGAATACGATTTCTTAATAAGAATTTCAATTGGGCTTGGTTAAAACATGTCAATTATTTTTTAATACAAATAGATCGATAGAATATAATGTTTACTACAAGTAGAACATGGTAGAACATGAACCAATTCTTATTAAAGTGTATTAGCAAATAATAAAATTGATCTCTGCAAATTTATTATCTATTTATCATATGTATATTTATTTGACACTTAATAATGAATACAAAAGCCGCACATACAAGATGTATGTCCTTTGATAAATTTGTACAAAATTAAATTATTTATACATGTTAGGAACTAAATATTAATTTGCCCTAAGCCAAATGCCACTTACACCTTCATTATATATTAGTAAACTATTATTGTAATAATTTTAAATGCAATATTATATTTTAGTACTTACATTACATCCTGACAGCTTGTTAACAAATCAATGTCATGATAAACTTGATTCAAATCCTGTTATTATAGATAGTTCCTGTTATTATATATAGTTTCTGATAATATTTACTTTAAATTCAATATATATATAACTAAAGTACAATATTAATTTAATAATTTTAATAACATCATGTCCTTTCACATGACAGGACAACACTAGTATTAATTTTACATGTTGTGCAATAATTTTTATATATATAAAAATGTGCTCCAGGGGAGGGGGTATTTAACCTTACAATTCCTATTTTGAAATCGTATTTCTAATTTTATATATATATATATATATATATATATATATATATATATATATATATATATATATATATATGAATTACAGTTTATGTATGGAATGTAAACTAGATATAAACAAGTTTGTAATATAGATCAGTTTGTGTACAAATATATTTTATATTATATATAATAAAACTATATTTTATTTATATTTAACTCTCATAAGATTTTTTCATAAGAGTGTTTATGTTTTTTTTTTATTATCTCTAATTATTTTTTATTGTCTTTTTTAATTACCTCTTATCATTACTATATATTATTGGTATTGTTATATTATTTTATGCGTGAACAACTACTCATGGATTTTTGAAGTTTATTTCAATTCTTACATTCTAATTTCACTATCTATTATCCATGAAAACCGTGGATTTATTTACGAATATTTACAACTGTTTAAAAATCCCGCCGTATTTTCAATAAGTGTAGCGCATGCAGCGCCTCTATGCAAAATTGCTCCCAAATCGTGAGGAACTACGTAGTGACTACCGGGTTCATATGGTTCTGTGTTAGATGACGTCACCGTCGTCGAACGATTGACAGTTGTTCAATTTATACAAAATTATATATATACTAGCTGGCCCCGTTTGTATGAGAATTGGATATATAAATGTATATATTGATTTATACATGATTATATATATACTACCTAGCTTAATTTGTATGGGAATTGGATTTATAAATGTATATATCGATTTATACATGATTATATATATATATACTGGCTGCTCTAGTTTGTATGGGAAATGGATATATAAATGTATATATCGATTTATACATGATTATATATATACTAGCTGCTCTAGTTTTTATGGGAAATGGATATATAAATGTATATATCGATTTATACATGATTATATATATACTAGCTGCCCTAGTTTCTATGGGAATTGGATATATAAATGTATATATCGATTTATACATGATTATATATATACTGGCTGCTCTAGTTTGTATGGGAAATGGATATATAAATGTATATATCGATTTATACATGATTATATATATACTAGCTGCTTTAGTTTGTATGAAAATTGGATATATAAATGTATATATTGATATGACTTCTAAGCAGAGACCATAATTATATATAATAGGGTATCAAGAAATCCAATAAGATTCCTATGTTCCTAAAGCGATTGCTTGCAGCGCCTCTATGTAAAATTGTTCCCAGTTCGTGAGGAACTACGTAGTGACTACCGGGTTCATATGGTTCTGTGTTAGATGGCGCCACCGTCGCCGAACGTTTGACAGTTCATCAACGACAAGGGAAATATACAAACGGCGTATATATAAATTTGAATATGATATCAAGTTAAATCCATGGATTACTTTCCACGGATTTATATACTGATTTATACATGATTATATATGGCTTAGCTAATCCACTGGTTATTTTATAATTAATTAAATAAATTCCGGAGGTGGGTCACGGTCGTCATGGTCGTCACGCTCCGTGACAATAATTATAATGTCACATTTGAGTCATAATAATCTTTTAGAAGATCATCAACGTGTATGTGTGTTTCTGTTCCATTGTCCAAATTTAAGAATTGCGTCATTCGCGAATTAGCATATTAAAAAGGCGCGAACGTTATCATATTATTGTAACAGACTGAAATAGAATAAATAAAGCAATATATATATATATATATATATATATATATATATATAAATATTCAATACATGACAAGCGTACAGAAGTTTAAATATTTTTTATTCAAATATAAATAAGAAAACAAAACTAACATTAAATTATGTCAAGACATTTTATCAAGTGATCAAAGTGAAAACCATAATGCAAAAATTGATTTTTGTGCATAATTATTATTCTAAAGGCACAATCTTCACAAAATGTATATATACAGTAGAACTCTCTTAAGACAATTATGCTTAATACGATTTCTCCCACGTTAAAACATATAATACTCATATCTCATTCAAGAAATTGTCTTAACGAGGTTTTTCTGCATATATATAAATACTTTTATGTTTAATAATATTAATATTTGTACTTTTAATTTACATTGCACACAATATTTTGATTCAATTAGAATAAATTAATTTTGAAAATCTATTTTTTACTTAATACTGGGCTTAAATATATAAATATATACTTAAATCTTAATGAGTATTCAACTGTTATAATAAATATATATATATATATATATATATATATATTTGTGTATATTTTATAAATAATGTATATATATAATAAATATAAATAACATTACAAAGTGATATAAATATTATATTAAAAAGTTTTGTGTCTTGTTTACTAATTAGAAATTATCATCTAATTAAGTAATAATATTGCAAGATATAAAAAAAGCCATCATGCCACAAGCTATTTAAATTATCAAACACTTCATATATAAATTAATATTAAAACTAGGATTAAATAAATTATTAACTACATAATTGATGAAAAGTATTCGTATGAATATTATTTATATAAATGCATGATATACGATTTGGTCAAAGACTTAATTTGATATATTATATATATATATATATTGATATGTTATATATATATATATATATATATATATTTATTATATTCAATTATTATATTCTTGATACAAAAAATATTCTAAATAAGTCCATGACCAAATGGTACAAGATTTAATAATAAAAACATAAAATCTTTGGGCAAAATGTTTGTGATTAAATTAATTATGATTAAAACTTAAATAAATATTAGAGACTTATATCATCGTCTAGTCTAATACATTCGATTAGGTTTCAAATACTTATAAATGATTAATTAATTTCATGATTGTTGGATAAATGAATAGGTTAAATTATTTGATCACACACGCAAAAGATTTGTTAATAAAAGTAGATAAGATGATTTAGCTTGATGATTACTTGCATGATGAGCACAAACCATTAATATGTATCATAATAAATATAATTATATTCTCCCTTGCAATTCACAATTACTCTATATCTGTACACACACTGTGAATACTATTAAACAACTCTAAAGTCAACAAATTAATCTTAACATCCAAATTCAACATATCGAGAGCCTCTCAAAATCCCTCTCTTTGGCTGTACACGATACATTGCACTGAATCTGTCCATTCTCCTTCGACTCCTCCTGGTTGTTTTTCATGTTCTCCTGCATCTTTGCCTTGGCCAAAGCCAACCTTTGCTTGGCTGCACTTCGAAGATGATCAAAATTTTTACCTTTGGCTGCATCGGTTTTATCAACACCATTCTTAAGCTTCTCAACTTTCTTCGGAGGAGTCTCTATAGTCTTGGTTTCCAATGGAGCCCAGCTTGTTGATTTACGTTTCTGGATATTCTCAAACCTTTCATCAACTTCACTGATTTCCAGGCTGATCAGGTCCCAGAAGCCCTGGAGGTCTCCTGCTTTGATGGGGCGCTCTCCTGATTGACCACGACGGAGATCGTCCACCAGGCGCCTGAATTGGGGCAACTTGCTCTTGAGTAAGAGATTTGTTTTACCTAGAAAAGGAACAATGTGATAACAGAGAAGATTTTACAATACTAGACGACTATTTGCCCCAATTTGATCTTCTCCAGAGTGCATATTTTATATTTCAAAGACCGTTAAATATGTATTTTCTACGTGAGACTATTCAAATGTCCATTAGTAGTGGACTGGACGGCATTCTTTAATTAATTCAACGTGTAATACGCGATTGGAATTAATTAAACCATTTATTACCACAATAATAAGTTTTGCGGCCACGAACAAGATGAACTGTTAGCGAAAAATAACAGTAACTGCATTTATTGTCCGTAAATATTTGCAGATACATAATTATATATATATATATATATATATATATATATACAAAATGTGTTGGTAAACGCATAACTCAACAACGCCTGAACCAATTTGGCCCATTATTTTTTTAAAATGTTCGTGGAAGTCCAAGGATTGCTCTTACGGCGAGAAAAAATCGAATAATCGCCGGGAAAACCCTAAAAACAGCCCTTTTCCTTTACTCATACAAACGTTTTCTAACTAAAATCAATAGTAGAATCAATTTGAGCTTTATTGCTATTATATAAAGTTCATATTAAATTGCATGCACTCACTGTAT